AAAACTTAAAATGTGTCTTGACGTTTTCAGTGAATTATTTGGGCAGAGTCCCTTAAAGTCCTCAGATGTTTCAGTCCTTTATTCTGATGCGCCTTTTTAGCTCTTCTTTTGAAGTTCCTCCTTTATACAATGGAGAGAATGCCTTAAAGGAAAGTATCCTTGCTGCAATTTCTCTCTGAATTCTTACACGTCATTGAAGGCATTCTTTTCAAAAGTTTACTGTTATAAATTATTTGTTTATGGTCAGAATTTTTTTATGATGTCTGCGGTGAATGTGACCTATATGTTTTCAAAAGGATTCTGTCATCACATTAATCTCCTTTGAGGGTAACTTGTAAATATTTGTTGGATTAATTGAGAGAAATGGTCCAAAGCTAAAACACTGATGGTAAAGCGTGAGGTTAAATATCTCGGATGTTCATTGACTTTGGTTCTCTTCCTCTAGTTTTGTGTAGCTTGCTGAAATTTTTTTTTTCCCCCTCTCACCAACCTGTTTTGGAACTTGGATTTGCAGCAGTGGGATACACTAAATGAGTATTGATGTCTTGAAACCTTTAATGTCCTCTACATTTCCAAACATTGAAAGTTAGTTTTGCAGGTCCTCCCCGGATTCCTGCAGAACCCAGAGTTTCGTCAGGACCTACTTGCGTTGCAGAGTTTCATTATGGTAGGGCACTCAATTTCTTATTTCTCCGGTAACTTAATTAGGAGGCTAAGAGAGATCCTACAGAGCAGCAGTTACTGAAAAGTTAGAAACGTCTATAGCAATACTGCTGTCTTCAAACAGGATATATGTGCTTTAGTGGCCCTAAATACTGCAGTGCTTTTAAAAGTAGAAGAGTGATAATTTTTTGTACAGGTGGATAAATAGATACAGATCAAGTAGTTTTCCTATAGTTAACATGTTAAAGGCTGTTGGAGACAGTCACTTGCAGAACTCTGAATGGGTTGCTCAATAACAACTCATTTAGGTTTTCTTTTATTAATTTTTAAGCCCCCAAATGCCCACTGATGTTAAGATGCACTATGGATTAGTGTATTGAACTACTTGTATAATTTGTTGAATACTGTAGCTCACTTAAATAATAGATATTGCTTTTTTCCTATGTGTTTTTTCTTTTAAAATGTTTGTGTTTGTATTTTAAAGAGGGAAGGCATCTGGTTTATGAAAAAATTTCACAAGCAGTCAAGCAAGCATTTAACAGTCTGATTGCCAAATACCCTGTGTTTCAGAGTTGTAGCAGTTCACTGGCTGCTTTCATAATTGAAAAAGGCAAGTGTTTTGATTTGTTTTCAGTTATATGCAAGAAAAAAGCTGTTTATAGTGTACATGCGTCCAAAAATCTAGAGACCCTGAACATGTTGTAACTAGATTTTAGATTAATAAATCTTGATGGTAACCCCAACCTTCTTAATGTGCCATTGAAACCACCTACAGAATTGTACACGGGTATGCAATGAAATGAAGAGAATTCCAGCATGGGGTGTCCTCAAGATTTTTACTTTTGAACTTAGGAGGCCAGTCAAAATAACATAACTTTTGTTTATTTTCTAAATTCTAATGTCATGTTCTTGCTGGATAAAAGCTGGACAATGCAGAAAATATCAATATATAATTATATGACTTAAAGGCTGTGTTCTACATGGCAGCAGGATGCAGTGACTTTCAGGACTGTTGCCAAATAAAGAACATATCTGTAATGTAGTCAACAAGTCCTGAAGATACAGAGCATTGCGGGTAGGTTCGGGCTACAGAAGAAAGGTAGCAATTTCTACCTATCTCAGATATGAGAAGTCACTTTTAATAGTACAGTAATCAGAACATGAGTTGTTACATTTTAGCTGCTTTTCTGAGAACAGTCTTCTACTTTCAAAGGCTGCCCCATTCAGCTAACTTAGTGATGGCATTTGCACGGCAGGAAACGATGGTTAAAATTCTTGCTTGCCTTTCTTCCTGCTACTACACTGGATTTGGAGCATGCTGTTTTTAACTTGTGGTAGTTCTTTGTACTCTTCAAGATGCGATGATGAAATTGGTCAGGTGATTTAAGAATTTGCTCGCATTTGAGCTCTAATGGTAGTCATTACTCCATGCGTGACTGGTGCCACCTTAAGCAAGGGAGGCATGTCGTGTCCTTCCCCCCCCCCGGTGACCAGTCAGCGACTGTGGCCAATCTCTCTGACTGGGGGAGGCCCCTCCACAGCAAAACTCACTAACCGGGAGCTACATCCGGCGCTTCCACTCCCTGGCTTGCACTCGCGGGGAGGGCATCGGCACTCCTACCTGCGCGCGCCCCCCCACCCCCGGTCCATTGCCTAAGCGGGGAATGTGGCCTGTCAGGGAGTGCACATGTGTCCCCATGTACCCCCTATGCCTAGCCACTGCATTACTCCATTACTTTCTTTAATGGAAAAGGTAGGAACTTGGGTAAGCTAAAGAGGAAGTTTTTAAAGAGCATAGACAAGACTTGAGTAGTGTGGACAGAGAGGAAAGAAGAGGAATCCTTTTTTTGTTGTTGTTTTTGAGGAGAGAAAGAAAAGTTGTACTGGGTTGAAATAGAGAGCCAGAATTACACCAAAGATTTAGACTTAGAAGTTGAATGATGATGAATATGAAGAATGAGGGGCAGCAAATTGGCTTCATTCTTTCCATGTTGATCTTAAGCCAATGGGATAGTGTGGAGGAATGTTACTAAGATGGTTAGAGATGTGTAACTGAACAAAGGTAAGCAAAGCAAAGCTGGTGAGGTGGACTTCAGTAGTCATTGCTTATAACCAACTATGGATGAAACTCATACCAGAAAAGAAAAAAAGGAGAAAATGGATAGGCTGGAGGTATAGTCAGAGAAGCTAGAGATGGGGGAGAAATTAATGTACTTAAACCATGCCTGACAGTTGTTTGTCTAATCTGTTTTTAAAAACCTCCAAAAAATGGACTTCCACAATGTCTTTTGGTAGCCTGATCCAGTGAATAACTATCCTTATAGTTGAAATATTTTTTCCTAATGTCTACTGTAACTGCCCTGGCTGTATATTATAAATCATTTTCTTCTTATCCTACTCAGTTCAGTAACTGTCCTGTTCGTTATAACTTTTTATATGTTCATCTGTCTCTGACCATTTACAATCAATCAAGTCCTGAGAGAAGCTGTGATATAATATGATTTTGAAATGCAGTGGCCCCAGATGTACAGTGAAATGTTTAAAAATAGTCCCTAACCTCTTCTGTACACTTACTGTTAACCTTTTGAAGTTACAAAACTCTGGAATAATCTTTTATTGGAGGCTCTGCATCAGAGTTTGTTAGAAATCCTCTGGAAGCAGAATTTTGCCAGCATGAGCTGATAACTGCAGAGACTGTATTCTGAGCCTTTGGGAGAAACACCTCTGATTGCTTTATAGCAGTTAATCCTCAATATTTTTGGAACATCAGATTACCATCAATTCCCTAAATTCTTATGAACCCCTAAGTACCCTTAGTATCAAACTAACAGTTGAAAATATAGGGGCCAGTGGAGTCTGTTGACTACTTAATATGACACTTTGGAGCATTTGCTTGCTAATTGTCATGCTGACTGACTAAATACGCAGACTAAGATGTATAGAAAATTGGTGTATCTAGCTCTATCAACAGTAAGAAGTTTATTATTAGGAGCAAAGTGTGAATTGGAGAGTTGAGTGAAAGAGTCAAGAGGGGAAAAAACCCATAACACTCCTAGAAAAATGGACTTAGACTAAAACAGTATTGCAGAAATAAAGCTGATATCATCAAACAAACAAACAAAACCAGGAATCCTTCAACAGCAAAGGTGGTCAAAATAGTGGTGGCCAGATCTGTTCTGCAAGTTGATTGGATCTGGCCTATGAAACTCCTCATAGGGCTGAGCCCTGCCTGCTTGTGCGCAGGGCAGCCCATGCCGCACTCCCACCTCTGGATGGCCCCAGCCAGCATGTACAGTTTCCCAGCCGAGCTCTTTCCAGTGCAGTTACAGCTGCCCAGCTACTGTTTGGCTCCTCCTGCCTCTGCTGCGCTGCTCTGTGCAGCAGGTAGCACTGAGGCACAGAGGTGGCAGCTGTGGGCGTGTGTGCTAGGCACTGCTTGTCGAGCCAGGCAGGGAGGAAGGAGCTGGGGGTGGGAATTGCAGTTGGGTGGCTCCTGCCCTAGCGCATGGAGCTCCAGTTCTAGCTCCTGGCCACATTCCACCCACTTGGCTGCTTAGGACAGTAAACCCATCTGCAGGTGGCCAAGAGGATGCAAGGTGACCAGGAGCTAGAGCTCTGCACACTGGGTCAGGAGCTGCCCAGCTGCAGCTTTCCTCTTACTTGGAGTGGTGCAGGAGAAGGAGGAGCCACTGGAGGTGGGGGAGGGGAGGAAGGGAAGGGGGAGGAGCCGAGTAGTTCCTGGGTGGCCACAGCTGCACTGGATGCAGTCACTCTGGGAAGCTGTGCACACTGGCTAGGGTTGGTGGGCAGGGGCAGCCACGGGCTGGATGGGGAGCACACTGCACCTGTACCACCTGGGCAAGCTCTGCGGCATATGCTCCCTGCCTACCCTCCCCACCTGTCAGCTCCCGGGACCGAGCACACAGGCAGCATCCCCCTACCCCATGGACATGCACACACAAACTGACACACAACTCGCTCCCCCCCCCCCCCCCCCCCCCCCCCCCACCCCCGGCGCGCACGCACACACATTATACAAGAGTAAGACTTTATTTTGAGCTATTATGCAATTGCTTCCATATACACTACTCAAAAAAGCCCCCATAAATTGGGACAAAAATTCTTGTTTGAAGTAAAATGTAAATGTTATATTAGATGTTTGATTTTTAGTATGTGATATTTTTTTATCTATAATTTGTTAAAATGATATCTTAAAGATATCAAGATTTTGTTTGTGGCCCTTGACATCTCACAAACTCGTTGTGTCCTTCCAGCCACAATAATTTCCTACCCATATTCTACAGGGCAAGAGGAGAATGAGTGAAGTGCTCAAAATGTCTATCTTCTGTCTATAAAATACTAATCTATCAATCAGATTTTGACTAGGTAGTTAACTGAGTAGTCAAGTTAACCAAGTCTCTTTCTTCTCTTTTATAATCAAATGTTGTGTAGTCATTTAATTACTCTAAAAGCAGTAATTAAAAAGAGGGTTTTGTAAAAAGAGGGAATTCTTCAATCAAATTAAGCTAACGTGTTATCTACTTTTTTCTTTTAGCTGGTCAGCCTGAAGTTGTAGCTATAGGAACAGGGGAATACAATTACAGTCAGTGTTTTCATCCTGATGGGAGAGTTTTGCATGATAGTCATGCTATTGTTACTGCAAGACGCTCACTGCTTAGGTAAGAAAATGACAACGTAGGCAATAAGGCATGCAAGTAACAATTTTTGTTAAGCTAAATAAATCCCACTTGTACAGAGTGGTTTCATGTTTACTTTTTAATCATTCCAATCTCAAAGATGATATGCCAGGTAATAGCTATATGTAAATGTCCAGCAGCTTAAAATAATTTAAATTTTGTTATATAAATGCTGTCGTCTTTAATTTCCCCAAATCTTGAGTTGTAACACTTTCTTTTAGGTATTTTTATAGGCATCTTTTGCTCTTCTACAGTAAAAATACTGCTTTGACAGAAAAATCTGTGTTTTGTATGGAACCAGCATCAAGTCTGCTTACTCTAAAACAAAATATAAATATTTTCCTCTACTTAAATCAGTTGCCAAAAGGATCTGCTCAGATAAAGTCACAGCTGTAAGTATCCTGAAGTTTTCAAACATAGCATTTAATTATTCAAATGTACTAAGAATTTTAATCTTCCATTCTGAATGAATTCATATGATCACAGTGGGCATGTCTGTGCAAGATGTTTACTGCGCAGTAGCCTAATGACATGACGCAGTAGCGCATCACAGCACAAACAGTGCTAATATGCTATTGCACCGTATTAGGGTACTGCTCGGTAGCATCACAAAAGAGGTGTTCGCTGGCACTACTGTGCAGTAACGACTGCATGTTAATGAACATGTAGATGTGCCCAGTGAGGAGTATTTACTCCATGTCTTAAGTTTTGACTCATTTTTTTTATAATAAAATAATCTTATTTTTTTTGGAATGTCTAATACAGAATATTATAAAAATAGAAGCTGTTTGATGTAAGTATAAATTAGAAACTAATTTAAAATTTTGAGAAATTTTAAAAGTTCTTTCAAGCCAGGCTTGAATATGTTGGGGAAATCATGGAACTTGGAACAGCTTTGTTTGTAGCATATATAGACCTTCTTGCAGCTTTCATCCCTTGCAGTGCTAACCATCTTTTAGTGGTATTGGATTAAATTTCCAAAAGTAACGAGTGATTTTTTTTTTTTTTTTTTTTTTTTTTTTTTTTTTTTTTCCCTTTAAGTTACAGTGTGGGGAGGAGAGGTGGGGCAGGGATATCAAATTGAAACACATTTAAGGTGGCCAACCTTCGGAGAACGAGCAGTTGGCCTATTTCAAGAAAGTCCACAGGCACCTAAGTTTTCTCCAGTAAAATTTCCTAGGTGTCTTGCACTGCTCCTATGCAAGGCACCTAGGGCAGGTGCTGAGCCATTCACCTTTCTTCCCCCATGTAGGTTTGTTGTGGGACTTTTAAACTAGGCATTACTGCACCTAAATAGTCTAAAGGGCTAGATTCAGTAGGTGTGCTGTAAGCAGGCCTAATTACATACTGACAGTATTGAGTTCAGCACTCAGTAGCCACTTTGATTTAAAAATACAACCACAAATGATAATGGTTACCCCCTTTAAAATAATAACCCCAAGTGTAGAGCTATCTCTAAGTTCTGCCATCCTCAGTCTGTGCATATGTTTTCTGGTTGTGCATTTCATCCAATGAGTGTTCTAACGCATAAGCTGTCCTCACAGTAGAGCCCAGAACCCAGGTTCCTGTTCTCCCAGACCATAGCCCAGCGATGATAGCAGTAGAGTCACTGTTTACATGCTTGTGCATGTGCATCTGCTTGTTCTTATTCTCTGTCTGGCCAAGTGAATCGTTCATTTCTGGCAGAACTCTCCGAAAAGCAGAGTACTCCTACTTAAACGTAGCCCCTAGCTTTGTAGGTTGGACACCTGGGAGGTGGGGGCCATTGGCTTGAATTTCCTTAGGCTGAAGAAGATGTACGACTTAAGTCTTCCATTTTCTGAGCAAGTTCTCTAATCTCTAAGTTAGTGGTTCTGAACCTTTTTAGACTTGTGGTGCCCCTTGGTAGATTCAAGGTAATTCTAGGAAAATGCCAACTATTAGTCTTCGCTCTGTTTGTGACTACAGAAAAATAATAGAATAATTTTTCTATTGCAGAGAACTCAGACCATAACTGGGCAGAATGTTTTTAATTCTGTGGATTCCTATTTGAAAACTGGGTTTATTTGCCTCATGGGCCAGATGAATGGGTATGAGGCCAGTCTGTAGGATTGATCAATCTGTGCACACTAGGATCAGGCCTTGGGGTCTGGGGCCACCCCGTCCTGCCCTTGTGCACTGGGACTGGTTCCCGGGGGCCTGGAGCCATCCCCTCCTGCCCCTGTGCACCAGGATTGGGCCTTGGAAGCCTGGTGGCACCACCACCTCCCATCCACACCTCATGGGATTGGGCCCCATAGGCATGGCACTGCCCCTGCATGTTGGGGTTGGGACTTGGTGCTGTTTGTGCCTGGCCCTGGATGCTGGGGTCAGGTGCCTAATGCAGTTCACAGAGCTCAAGGCTCCCCATTTGCCTGGAAATGTTGCATCACTCCCTGCAGTATGTGGCCTGCAGGCTGGAAGATGAGCACCCCTGCTCTAGGTGATGCATATAAAAGTTGGATGACAGCACATTACCACCACTTTCTCTTCTACTAGCTCCTCCACCACCTTTTGCTTGTTTTAAAAGAAATGTCAGTTAGTATCCTAAGAAATCTTGTAGAGGTCTTGGGGACAGAGAGTGTTTGGGCTATGAATTCCAAACTTTCTTACAGCATAGCCTTATATATGGCTACAGTCAGAACTTAAATCCAGAAGTGAGATTTTTGCATATGGCCCTCTTGGCATTTCCTGCTTGTTGATTTAGGTGCCCATTACTCTTCTTCAGCCCTCCATGAGCTACTTTTAGACGTACAGATCTCCTTGTGCATTGTATAGAAAACTTGAGCATTTAATTTGGATTTGTGAACTTCATGTCTGTACCTGCTGTCTGAAAATTAAGCAAGTCAATTCTAGACATTGCTACATCCAGGTCCCTTAGTTTAGCAGTACCTGTAAATATTTTGCTGTTTTCTAAAGCTAACTTTCCTGCTGGAATTCATCTTTCCTGTAATTTTCAATTTTAGACGTCTCAATCCAAATTCTATATCTGCATTTGAAGCAAATGAAGAATTGAGTCTCCATGTTGCTGTAGAAGGCAAGATTTACCTAACATTTTATTGCCCCAGTGAAGTTGCTCACAGAGTGAACAGCATGTCAGCCAGTGACAAACTAACAAAATGGGAAGTTCTCGGTGTCCAGGGAGCGTTGCTGAGTCACTTCATTCAGCCAGTTTATCTTAGTGGCATACTTGTTGGTAAGACTTCCTTGCTAAAGCAGAATTCACTGTTATGCTGTATCTTCAAGTGGATACAAATCCATTTTCAGTTTTGTTGACATTATATAAAAATATTAACGAGATGGAATGTAATACTTTGTTTTAAAATTTGTTACAGAATCTTTTATACGCCAGTATAAATATACTTCTCTTTGAAATAGCCATGCTTAAAACTCTGTTAGATTGACCTCTGATTATGGTGTGAGCTTTTCCCATGTTTTGCTATTACATGTCAATATTAAATGTAATTGTTAATTTGTAACAATTTAATTTTTTTAAGCCTACCAAGAATAACAAAGGACAGTGATAACCATTTAAACCGTGGTGTCTTAGACGTATCAGAGTTCAAGAACTACAAGGTCCCCGAATTGGGAAGTTGAAAGTGGCATTTGTCAAATAGCTTTGATTCATTTTTATAATGTTTTGCAGGTGTTATATTTAAAATTTGGATTAATTAAGCAGGCTGGACTCTTGAAAGTCTGCCTTTTCCTTTTTATAGTATCTCTGGTTGTTACTGGGGCGGTTTTATTTTAAGGGATGGAAGCTTGCTGAGAGTAGGAAGATGTAGGCGTTTTATGGTAGTTGGCTTTTTCTTTGAGTAGTAGTATTTTGTTATTTGGCTCAGATGTTTTACAGTGAAATTGTTTAAAATAATAATATAGCATGCTAAACTTTGCCAAGTCTTCTCTCATCATATTTCTACTATGATAGGTTTGATTTCACATAGATTCATTCTCAAATTTTAAAATTGTTGTGGTGATTTTTTTTTTTGTCTTGATATGGAATAAAGTTTTGGAAGTTATCTATAAGAGCACTAGCCTTCCGACCTCTTAGCATCCTAGTCTATCATTCAGACAGAATGTGGACATTGTATTCTATGTCACATATCTCTTACCTTTCTTGTGGTTAGAATAACACTGGGGTTTCAAACATACAGTTTGTGGGCCACATTTAGCCCACAAGGCCCTGTTATCCAGCCCCTGGTGCTGCTCCCAGACCCTGCCACCCTAGACCAGCTACCAGATGGTATGTATGCAATGCAGTCCAACTAGGTAGAGGAGGGGGCACCATTCTACATGTGACAACTACTCTGGGATCAGTGCTGCACGTGGTGCCTGCTCCCGCTAGTCTGGAACGTGCACAGATACAGCACAGATGCTGGAAGCAGGGGTGGGAAACGTGGGTTCCTGGGTCTGATCCAGCTTGTGGACCAGCTCCACATCACTTATCCAGCCCACAGGGTTTGATTCATAGATTGCGAGGGGCTGGAAGGGAGCTCGCGAGATCATCGGTTTCAGCTCCCCTGCACTAGGCAGGAAAGACAACTGAGGTCAGGTGACCCCAGTGAGGTGACCGTCCAGTCTCCATTTGAAGATTTCCAGGGTAGGTGATTGTATACCTCTGGAAGGAGTTTATTCCACAGTCTGAACACCCTGACTGTGTAGAAGTTTTTCTTAGTGTTAAGCCTGAAATGGTCTTCCAGGAGTTTGTGGCCATTTCTCCTGGTTTTCTCTAAGGGTGCCCTGGTGAGCAGTTGCTCGCCAAGCCCTTGATGTATTCACCTGATGTAGCGGTAAGCTGCTACCAGGTCCCTGCTCAGTCTTCTGTTTTTTTAGGCTGAACAGGCCCAAGTCCCTCAGCTTTTCCTTGTATGGCTTGCCATGCAAGTCTCTGATCATACAGGTGGCTGGACTCTCTCAAGCTTTTCCAGCTTTGAATTTGGTGCCCAGAGAATAGTGGATAGTGCTCTTTTTTTTTCTCTCCAGTTCTTGTGTTGTGAATTGTTTTTTTTAATGCAAGTTGTAAAGAAATCTACTCTAGTAGAAGCGTGCATGTGAAAATCTAGGAAAATCTTAACTTTCGATATTGTAATCCAGTATCTTATTTTTTGAAAACTTTATCAGTTTTGAAGAGGAATAAATAAATACAAAAATAATACATTTTTTGAAAGTATGCAATACAATTCTAGTGAAAACAATCCAGAGAAACTCTAGACTAAATGAAGTGTAATTTGAGCCTTTCTGTAGAAAAAGTACATTTTTAAAAAATAACACTTTTTGAAGGAGTAGTTATAAAAAAGTTTGCATTACCACTGAGCATGTTTCTATTTTGTGGACTAAGTATTGGAATTTAGTTGTAAAACAGAACCTTGAATTTAAAATTAACGTGAAATGATGAAAGCTGCCTGATTCCTCTTGAAAATTTGATTAATTTTCTTGTATTTTCTGTTTATACTGAATTTTTTTTTTGTGGGTTTTTTGTCTTTTAGGAGATGGAAACTGCAGTAATACAAGAGGACTAGAAATAGCTGTAAAACAGCGCGTTGATGATGCACTCACTTCAGAGCTTCCCATGTTTTATTTGGTCAACAGACCTCATATTAGTTTGGTTACTGCTACGCACCCAGTTGAGGTAGATGTGGAAAACAGGTGTCTCAGTGTGAACTGGTCACAAGGGGACACTTCGTTGGAAATTGTGGATGGGTTAAGTGGAAAGATCACTGAAAGGTTAGAATTCTTACATCATAATAAAAATAGTGATGAGCCTGATCAGTGTGTGGGGGTATGTGCGCACATACATCTGCTTAAGTGCAAAGTTCCTCAAACAGTTCTTGTTTTTAAGCCATGGTATTGTAGTGTAAATGTGAGAGATTCCCTCCTCGACTAATTGAATACACTCTTCAATTAGAGACAATTTTTGACATATAATCTTTCAGTGATGCACTGAAATAAAGAAAAATCATTTAATTTCTTATTAAATTAAAATATTATTCTCCCACCATTTGTACTCTTTGAAGAAAACAGTCTTAATAGTGGAAATATGTCTTCAACTGCTACTTTTCTGGTGCTGGTAAATTGCTAGTTAAAAAGATTCAGCCATCATTTTACTAGCTGTAATTGTGACGCATTTACTTTTTTTGATTGCTTTTTCCCCTGAATTAAGTGGATGGAATTTCATACTACCAAGGTTAACATTTTTATTTGAAAAAGATCATTTTAAATTTGGGGTTTGAAGCATGTAGAATCTCTAATCTGTTTCATTGCTTGCTGTAGTTCACCATTCAAAAGTGGTGCTTCAATGGCAAGTCGTCTTTGCAAGGCTGCAATGTTAAGTCGTTTTCATCTGCTCTCTAAGGAAGCAAAACGAGATGACTTGCTTGGTATTTGTACATATGAAGCAAAGGTAAGACTAGCTAAAGGAAAAGCTCTAGTAAATGTCCTTTTAATGATTGCTTTCAAAATGTAGGAAGGTAACTAGTTCTAGTGTGCTGAAGATTTTTACATGAATGGCTGGTAGCAGTCTTAACTTTGTTTCAGATACTTTCAAAGTTGCTGTTTGCAAGAGAAACTTAAACTGTTCATAATGCTGAAATTCTACTCACTTATGAAATTATTTTGACAAACTTTTAATTTTGAATTTTTGTTTGTGGTGAAAAATACATTGACAAAAAAATTGTCTTTGGAAGTTACAAATTAAAAAGTGTCCTGAATTGGATTGAAACTTTCATGATTGGTCTTTATCTGTGGAGACTGACAGCTATTTTCTTACAATGTCTAGTTTTCTAGCGTTCTTAGAAAGTTTTAGCCCCTTTTTGTTCAATTCTGTTAACCTTTATTCTATATAACTTCAGGCACCATTCTTCCTTGAGAAGTCTTGTGGAAAAGGGTATCAACAAATTTGTCAGGGGGCCAGGAACAATGCATCAGGATATTGTGTTTGGAATCAGGTTTTTTGTTCTTCTTTTCCTAGTGTACTAATTTTCTTTGGTGCTTGATTAACTTACCCTGTATTTAGATTTAACATGCATTTACAGAAAGTGAGTAATGAAAATCATGCATTATCCAAAGTTTCATTTCCCCAGACTTTGTTTTTCCATTCACGTTATATCCAGTCTTCTAGAAGAGCACTGCAATTTTTTTAACCATCTCTCCAGTAAATCTGTAGCACTTTTGCTCTTCAGTAGTGAATGTTGGCATCTCTAGTTTTGTCTAAATTATAACTTCTTGTGATGGGTATTTTGGGATACTGTAGTGGTACCTTATGTTAATACTTAACAGTATTAAAAACTTGTGGCACTCTGTAACGTTACTCTTTAACGATCCTTTAACTTCTGCTTTTGTTCAGATTAAGTCTGCATCCTACCAAGAAGCTAAAAAATTGCTGAAAACCTACTTGGAGCAGCATGGTTATGGATCCTGGATTGTGAAATCTCCACGCATTGAACAGTTCACCATGTGACTACTAAGCTGAATGTATTGTGTTTTATTATTACTTCAATAAAATTTAATTTTTGGTGAGTAAAATATTCAAGCTTTGGTAATTTTAATTTTTTCAGTTGGTGCCACTGTCAGCAGTAACAAGCAAATTGAATTTAACAATTTAAGTAACAACAAATTAAATTTTTCAGTTTAAGCGCAGATCTTAAACTGCCTTTTGTAACAATTCAGTCCGATTGAAAAATGCCAGTCTCTTTTCACAAGAGTAGTTATTAACATCTTAATAATCTTATCAGTCCTATTTGTAGAAATTTTTTTTCTCTCAAACTGTAGTTTCATAAAGGAGAATATAAATTTGCATGTTGTTATCTTCTGAAACCAGAGTAAAAGACTACTTATAATGGGGCACAGTAATGTCGTGTGATTCATGCTTGTGTTTTACCCAAAATTACATGTAGATCTTCATGTGTTGGGATTTTTTTAATGGTCCTTTTGTATCACTTTTTTTTACTGTTGTATCTGGTAATCTTGGCACTTACTGCTTGTCCTGTTTTACACCAGTAATAAAGCTCGCATATAGCTTGGTAAATGGAAACCGTAAAATAAGTCTGGATGTGACTCAGAATCCCACTAGCTCTTTACTTATACATCTGGATACAGTTATTGTAGTTTTTTTTAATTGTTCTAGTCTTTGTCTTTCTCAAGACTTGAAAGTTGTATGTATTTTTATATAGTATGGGGGGAAGAGGGTCTAGGAATTCCTCCAGCTTGTTTTTTGTAGGCTACCAAAGAGGACATTAGGTGGCTATGATGTGGACTAAATCAAAATAGTGACTGAAATTTGCTTTGTCCTATTATGAGTTGAATAATTGATCTGTTCTTCCCAAACCTTTGTCCTTAGTAATGTTTTGCATGATATTTTATATGTTTTTTTCCTTATGTTACAATATGAATATTTATTTTCAGGTTGTATTTTTCTAGTGTTCATATAGTGTTGCTGTAATTACACTGAATGTTATATCTTTCTCTTCTTTCATACTACTTGATTCTGTATTTCACAGAGATAGAAAACTAGATTTTGTTAGCTATACCTATGAGATGCTAAGTTTAGTGTGGGGGCGTTCTTCCTCAAGTGTTAGTGCAGTATTGTAATTGCATCTGGTTTTTTTTGATGAGGGAGGGCTAACTTAGAACAAAAGGCTATCACCAGTGCTTTTTGTCCTAACTACTTGTTTGTAGTGCATGTTATACCATTAACTACTTGTATGTAAGTGACTAAATGTAATGTAAGAATGGAACAGACCTTCAATAAAACTAAACTTGTCAGGTGCTTTTATTTGACATAGCTTTAATATTTGGAAGATGGGCCTAATTAGGACCTTTCTTTTTTGACTCATTTCTGCACTGAATGGAAATTTGTTGGCTTCACTACTTAGTTTTTGAAAAGGATACTGCTGTCCCAGAACTGGTGTCTATCTTTCATGCTTTCCTCCCTCCATCCCCAGTCTCTTTTTTCCTTTTCCTATATTTTCTCTCCTCAATAAATAGATAATGCTCTCACTTGCAAAGTTTAGAGCTTTTTGTTGTTGTGTTGAGCTCTGCAGGACAAAGTCCTGCCCTTTACCTCAGGCCAGCAAATATCCTGCCTGAGACATTCCAACAAGGTCAGAGCTGGATAGCATGTTACCTCTTTCCTGTGAAGAATGAAAGAAAGCCTCTGTACTTGTCACAATGGATGTATTTGCCTTTCCCTTTTAAGGGCAAATTACTTTCAAGATTTTTCTAATGGGGATTGCCTAGTTAGAACAGTTTTATAAAAATCATAAGAAACTTTATAGTTTATAGGAATCTAAGATTTGGCTCAACAGTTTCCCTTTCAGTGAGAGAAAATTATGCCACTGAGAGGGATTTCCTTTCAAAAGTTCATCACTAATAAAAGCTAGGACACTTGATACACCAATGCCAAAACAATGCTTCCTAGGTCTCTGAGCTCAAAAATCAGTAGCTGAAAGGCAAATAATCATGGCAAACAGGTATTTTTTTTCTTTTCACATTTGTAAGTGGAAGGCTCTTAGGTAATGATAGGTAAATGAGTAACCATGTATGTAAAAATAGGCCTTATTTTTCACTATCAAGTCCATTACAGGAATACCTTGTTAAAGGCTTCTCTCTCCTAAAGGAAAACACTTACTTGAAACAAACTCCCAAAGCTGAATCTTTTATTCACCAACCAATGATATCTTCACTATAAGAAAGACAAAATGAGTGTTTGTTTATGAAAACATTAATACCTGTGCAAGACCTCTTCTTTTTTGCTCTATCCTTTGTGCCAAAACAACTGGTAGCAGTGAAAGGCCCAAGTCACACATTACTCATCCTTGGTTGTGCCTCTTCCAAAGAAACAGTCCTATTTGTAATTTGCTAGATACCGGAAAGAATTAATTCAAGTTGTTAGGAGCCAGTGCAGATTCTGGACCTCTTAGCAACTGTCTTTATGGATGGTCTTCAAGGGCAGCCCCAGGTAGAGTGCATTGCAGGATTCTAATCTTGAGGTAACAAGGGCTTGGATAATGGTGACCAGATCTAGACCTGAAAGAAAAGGTTTCAGCCTTCTCTCCAGATATAGTTGGTGAAAGGCCCTCCTAGCCATTGCTACCTGAAAATCCAGGTGCAGCAGAGGATTCAGGAGCACCCCCAGGCTGTGAACCTTCATGACAAGGGGAGGCTGAACCCCATCAGTTGTAAATACTATAGCATCCCCTCCTACACCTCAGGTAAAAAGGACTGCCTACTACCATCAACACTGTCTTGTTTGATGATCAGGTCAACTGAGCCACTGACTCATCCTTTCTGACAACACCTGGTAACAGCTGTTTCAGAGAGAGGTACAAGGCAACTGGTAGTGGGCAACTATGAAATAACCAAGTCAAGGGGAGTGTTTCCTCCTACCTTCCATCCGATTGGTTTTTGGGAATGTTTATAACCCTTCCAAAAGTAGGAGCAACCAGAGATCAAAGCTTTTCCCAGACATAATGGCAAAAACATCTCATGCAGAGAAGTATCTGTTGTCTTTCAAAACCCTTCAAGTAAAATGAAAAGAGAAAAAAAAATCTTCCTAGTGCCCACTAGGTAATGTAGCGTATATCTGGACTTGATGGGAATCTGCACAGGCCTCAGAATTAACTAGTGCTCTTGAAACAGGGACTTTTTCCATCTGGTCCTGGACCACTTGCAGTTAACAACATAGTATCAAAAGAGTAGTGTGAATTAGAAAGGATTCTCTGTTAGTTTCTCTGATAGATTTGGTGTCCAATAGGGATGTAAATATTGTTTTTAAAAAATATTAGTTTAACCTTTAATTATATTGGTTGCTTAACCTGATAACACAGCAGCTCAGACATGGCTGCTGCTGGGAGCCACTCCCTGAGTCCTTTGGCTTGGGTAGGGTTGGGTACTGCTCTCTCCCTTGCCACTCCTCCTCTCTCATTCCCTCCTGTCTGCCTTGCTGCCCTCTGATTCCTACTAGGGCACCACACAGCTTCCCTTCCCCACCCCCAACCCACCAGACTGCACCTGCCCTGAGCTAAAGGATAACCAGTAAGCTAACCAGTTAGCTGATATGTGCAGTGATAAGTGATTAATCATGTAACCTTTCACATTCCTAGTGTCCAGACTGTACAAAAGATTTTGTTTTTAAATTTATTGATCCAGTAAAACTTTGTGGTGGCAATGAGCTCCAGTGTTAATTCTGCATATGTAAAATAAATTTTGAATAATGTTAAAATATAATTGTTGAATGCTACTTGACTTTTATGCTATGGGGCTGTCACAGGTACTCTTATATGCCTACTGTCACATTTAGTCTCTGTCTCTAGCCAATATTAAGCTATGTTCAGTCTTTTCATTTTATGTTTGTATGAACCATGGTATTTGTATGAACCTTTGTATTTTGTAACATGGTTTGATCGAAAGATGGGCAAGGAGTTTACTGGTAGACAAATTGTCAAGAGCACTCAAGAACACTAGACAGTGTTCCTAGCAGATCCTAACATCTGTGTGCCAGAGAAGATTTTAGCATGCATATCTATTAATCAAGGAAGTGGCAAAGCTCTCAGTGTTCAACTACAGCAGAGACTAAACAGAACAGTAGTAAATCCAAGTTGGGGGATATCTGTACATAATATAATGCCCTTCACTCTTCTTCCCCCTCCACCCCCTCTCCAAATTATTTGCTGCATATGGGGGACTAAAAAAGAGCCCATTTGCCATTTCTTTACCAGTGGGCAAGGTAGATAATGCACCTTATAGACTAACTAAATAACATAGAGCATAAGCTTTTGTGAACTTGAGCTCACTTCATCTGATTTAAACCACTTTGGTGTATTCTGTATATTTGGAATCTGTAAGGTGCATATCTGTTCTGCCTTCTGTTTGACTACAGACTAAGACAGCTAACTACTTCTAGTTCCTTTACTGGGTGTGTCTACATGAAATGCTGACTGCTCAGTAGCAAAAAAATACCACTCAGTGGCACATCACAGCCCAGATTAATAGGCTAATATGCTCTTGCGCAATATTATTAGGCTACTGCGCAGTAGCGTCGCCTAAAAGACATTCACCGGTGCTATTACACGGTCACTGTTTACTACGCGTTTATTTAGTACTTGCTGGATAGGCATCTGGCTGGGGTCATCTAACCCCAGAGTTCTTCCCTGCCTAGGCAGGGGGTTGGACTCGATGATCCATTGAGGTCCCTTCCGATCCTAGCATCTATGAATCAATAAACAACTGCACAGTAGCATCTCATGTAAACGCGCCCACTGTTCATTATTTAGCGTATTGCTGTCATACTCCTCTTTACTCATCTCATCTTAACTAGCCTCATATACAAATCTTTCTTCACCATTAACTTGAACTCCTATAACTGAGTTCCTAATTTCTACTATAACTTTTTTAAGAACACGAACAACATTGATCATCTCATTCCAGGAAAGTGTAAGTATTAGATAGCATTAGATATTATAATATCATTATGATTTTCTTATTTTTCTGTCCTAATTCTGTATGTTCTAACATTTGATTTGCTTTTTGGACTCTTGCTGCATACCGAGCAGAAGCTTTTACTAAACTGTCTCATAGTACCTACATCTAAATAGTTACAGTTACTTAAGAAACCTTCAATGTACAGAAGTGGTTTAACTTTTTCTTTTCCATATGTATTACTTTGTATGTTGTACCTCACCTGAAGTTCTGTGAAAAGTATTTATATAACCTAAGTGCTGTGGATAACACA